TAATATGTTGTATTTTAATGTGCCGTGATATCAGTAATATCGTCTACAGTTCCGATTATGGACCACAAACAAGAAAATGCTTTAAAATATTCAATGCATAGTCAGTACATAATAAAAACGAAAACCGCTAATTGTTTTAACACTCATCGATCGTCTCTTTATACTCAGTTGTTCTGTATTCAGTCAATTTATATGTTTTTATTGTTTTATAGCATTTCTGAGGTGTTTCGAGTAAGAAATCCTGGCAAGAAAGACCTACTCTATATTCTATAAGACGTTCCATTTTTTGAAACATTGGAATTATATAACAAAGTAACGCATTTTTGTACCTAGAAATTTCCATTAGATGAAAAAGAGTGACATAAASGTGGCAATTTACATTCAATATTTTAATCAAATTTTAATTTTGTCGAACTGTGTGACAATTTTATATGGATATGATGTTGTTTTTCACGGGTTTAGTGCCTTCTCATCAGATATAAATACCAAAACCACAAAACGAAAACCAACAATACAAGGGTTTCTCTTTTATTGACGATGATAAAGTTTTATCAAATATTTGAGTAGTTTCCAAGTGTGATAATACTATATACTGACCAAAGAGTAATGTTTGACTTATAAGGTATGTGTTCATGAGCACGAAACCCCGCAAGGCCCCCTTAAATGTTTTTAACCGATAAACCACGATTTGAAAAAAAAGTGTGTCATTCCCCTTAAATGTGCATTATTTGAAAGCTTTATTTCCTACKAAATGGATACAAAATCGCTCTTTATTTGATCTTAGACTTGATTATCCTCCTCGATAAATGTTCCTAAGTCTATCCTCAGGAAAAATGTGCTTGAAGACCGAGAGAACATTAGCATCGATAGAAATACTTCCCCTAATGAAACTTACAGATAAGAAACACATATATGTTTGAAAAATTCATGCCGACAAACAAGTTCTATTTAAGAATTGAGTTTTTTATTGCGATTTTCATATCAGCTTTAAGTTCATTCGCTAAAGACTTAGCACTGTTTGCTAACCATCGCCTGAACTGCCACTCATATTTGTATTTCACCAAACCGCAATTACTTCAATCTGCTCACAAGAGCACTTGCGGTTTCTACGTCTGTCCTATAATGTCTTAAAAATTGCTTAAGGACTGTAATATGTCCTTAGCAGTTTAGTATCGTCGTTTAACGATTTTAAGAGAGATTACACACTGACATGTTTTAATGATTTAAACCGTGACGACGGACTCTACCATAACACTTGTAAAGACCACTAGATTCGAATATTCAAGCACGATAAACCGTGAAATTAGCGGGATCCTAAGTACGCGGTTTTATGCAAACACATTGGTGTGAAAAATCCGAGTCAAGCACAAACCATGCAGGCTGGTAGCTTTGATTTGATTGATGCAGAATATTCCAAAATGGGAAAGAAAAATGACAGTGGAAAAATCACTTTTTATGACTCCGATTCCGAAAATGCCGATCATTGTGTTGGCAAATACAACGAGGGACTGTCAGACACTCCCACAGCATCGCGTACTGATCTAACAAGCATYGTAATCGACGAAAACATAAGCGTTGAGGAAACAGCAAAGAAAATCTATACAMAAGGAGATTGGATTCATTTGTCTAGCCTTGGATTATGCCACAGCAAGACAGGATTATCAACAGTACTGGAGCAATATCACAACGTTAAAGTGGAATTAAAAAGAACTTGTTTTCACCAGGAAATGAGCGAAATCGAGCGTAAAGTAAATGATGTTCTCCGCACTGTCCATGTTATGGACTCAAGCCTTCGWTTTCAACGTATGCAACCAWCCTGCTTTTACGAGGTCAGAGGATCGAATGAAATCGACGTGTTCCTAATTCTTGATCAARTRTTCGATTGGGATAATTATTCYATCGAAGAAAWTTCAGATCTCCAAGGYTACGTGCAAATTCGGCAAGAGGCTCACATCAATAATAACTTTGTTGCAGCTGATTCAACACCAACAGGGGGACCCCTAGGGAACTTTTTGATTAAATCAGAGTCCGGATCTGTTTTCCTATCTGCAAAGGCTGTTGGCAAGCGATTTAAGGATTTAGTGCGCAAGTCATTTGAATGTTTACCACGTGAATGGAGGGATTCGTCTCCAGAGTGTAAGCTGAACTCACAAGTGCATCAACTTGTTGGYACCGCGCTAGAACGAAGYAAAAGTTTTCAGAAATACTTCTCKCTCAAGAGAGTKAGTTTTCAAGACACGAACAAGCGCACGGTTAATCTGATTCCTACGATATCTTGKAAAAAATACTGGCCTGATGGCTCTAAATGGTCAAAATCCATACCATCTGCTGTATGGCCTGACCACGCCCTTTTAAACCWCACCATGARACAGGGTGTGCACTTAGTTGCTATGCCAACAGAAAAAGACGAAGAAGATTCGTGGCGAATAAAGTTCTTTAATGCAAAACGAGTTTTGATCAACCACAAGACTGAGCACGAGCAATGCAAGCTRAAGTGCTTGAGAATCATCAAGGTTCTTTGTGAAAACCAGCTGAGATTTTCCAGGCATTTCCTCCCATTGCACTTGGAAAATATGGCTTTAGACTTATATGAGCAGTACCCTGACGAYAGTGACTGGACAAACGATATGCTACCAGTACGATTTCTGGAATTCCTGGTAAAGATTTACCAGTCACTGAGRGCACGCAATTGCAGTCATTACTTTACGCCACAAATCAATTTGTTGTCGGGCATTCCTGATCGTGTTGCTACGTGTTTGGCTGAAGAAGCTCTCAATATTCTGAACGATCCAATCAAGTACCTTGCGTAAAATCTATTATGCTTGAGCTCTGCGCGACGCCGCAAATGAATCACTTCGTGGTTTGGTTGTCGAGCTTCTCAGTATTCTAATAAGATCCATTGTATGTGCATTGCGTARCATTTGTGTGGATAACCTTTCAAGGTAAAAAAAATCATCCTTTCACTTCTTCACAAAACCTAGTTACGCGTTTGGATAAACGTGACGTTTCTAACCGTTCCCACGCTGTTTCAAAGACCTATCTCGACAAGGTACTGTACCTTTTGTAATAGCAAAGGTTTTACGTTGGTGTACAGCCGTTCAGAACTGTACGCTTCCTTTCAGGAGTTAAAATATAAGTTTTTCAATTTGGTTTCGAGCTTTTACCGTGGAGCACGACGCGCTCTGTCGTGCCATTCTCGTGCTGCTTTCGCGTTTAACTCAACTGATTCATACGTCGAGTTTTTCATGTGTTAAGTCAAACGCGGCGGTAAATGGCACCTTTGAACAGCTCCTAACTGAAATGATAAATACAGAATAGATGACCCACAAACAAGTATTCAGAAATTCTTTATTGAAGTCATTCAATATAAATTCATTGTAGTATATGGAAGAGATTCCTCATTTTGATTATTCTAGAAAATATATAACATTATGACCAGCAGCATAAACTGTTYCCGATGAAAATTCAGTTCTCTTTTATCAGAGCATAGAGTGGTTTTTCGATCAACTTTTGAAGTTGATAAAAACAAACAAACAGAAAAAATAACAGAAAAAATAACGGAAACCACTCTTTAAATATAAATATATTTTTATAATGATTATAACGTGAAATAAAAAAAAGGAAATTGTTTTCACTTTATCGAGTCAAATCATTTATTACAATCTTTAGACTGAACAAATTTGTCAATTCAATAATATTGTACTTGTCAATTYAAGAATCCTCACATTTATTGTGATTTGAAATTACTATAAACTCATTGAGAGAATATATATAAAGTATTCAAAATTYAATTTGTATCTGTGGGGCTGTTGTACAAATGGTGGATAAATCTATTGCATAAATTTTGCTTTGATTTTATCTTCAACCTTCGTACAACCAGCTCCTGTACAATAACAKTTTTTCATATAAGATTTTAATTTGGAAAAGTCTCCTTCACAGCTCCTAAAACAGGCTGAGAAGGAATTTTCTTTTGATGTGCAACAACATTCCAACATTACTAATCCTCTGGTATAAAAACCAGATATTATCAATTATTATTAACGATTACTGATTAATGTAAAGACCATGTCATCTCTTTTTGTTTTTGAGAGCCATTTGCAGCAACATATCAAARTCCATTTCTTCATTAGAATGAGACGTTTTCCTGCTGCCTTCTCTCTCCTGCTGTTCTTCAAGGCTACTTGTAGTTGAGTCTGTAGATAAAATAGTATTAATTCTTGTATTAAGCATTGCATTAAATCTGATATCAACTTATTKCAAGTCCTTCTTGATGTGTACTCTCAAGCAGAGATGAAATTTCCTCAACAAAATGTTATTTCAAATTAGTTGTCAAAGCTGTTAGAAAGAGATWGAAGTGTGTTACATGGAGCAATTCTAGTTTACGTGAAATACTTTACTCAAAAAAACATTACTCTGAGTTTTACATTATACTGAGAGCATACTACATGTATATTGTTGGCAAAGACTGATCTCTCCACAAATATAAGAGTACAGGAATAAAAGGTAAGCAATAAAATTTTAGCTAGCATTATAATAATTATTGTAGATTATGATGCAAGGATTGTGACATCATAATCACTGTTACATTTACCAATCATAATCACTGTCACATTTACCAATCATAATCACTGCTATATCAACCAATCATAATCACTGTTACATTATATTTA